ATTAAAATGGGAGGAGGTATGTGTGGTAATGCGAAAATAACTTCTTCTGTTCTTTCACGCGGCTGAATCGATTTTGAAGAAATTTGGTATAAAGGTAGTTTGAGTCCTGGAAAAGCAAGGCTTTACCGCGGCAGAATTTCTCATTCCCACGGAAAAATCTAAAACGCGCGTTATAACCGAATTCCACGCAAGCGAACAGCTGTTTGTTTGTTTGCCTGTCTTAAACGGCAAAACGGAGGTACTTAACTCGTCGAGTACCGGTTTTATAGACACAATTAAAGAACAATAGGTCGCGGTCACCGGTGACCGCTTGGTGTTTGACAGTTTAACGTGATTTTTCAACTGAAGGTAGGTGAAGGGATGGGTAGTCACATAGGCTACGTTTTATCTTTTTGTGACGCGAGCGAAGCCGCGGGTAAAAGCTAGTCATAAGAATAATTTCACCATTTTTATCTTCTGGATTTTCTCTTATGTTTATTTGTGAAGTTAACCCCAAAGAAGAACAGCTTATTTTCCCGCTTTAATTAAACTAAAACAATTCATTCTAAAAATTGCTCTATATATTGTTATTTCGATTTAAAGAATCCATTTGAGAGAGTACACTAATGGATATTGATTGAAATGTGAAAATGGATACATCCATCACATCACATCTAAGTATTAACATGAAATTGATGATTGCAAGATATGTTATATGGAAACTAGTTTATGTATCAGTGTCAATAAATGCACTCATCACTATCTATGGACATCTATCTATACATTATACTACCATAAATTGTTTCCTTGCATGTTTCTGCTATTAGATTTTAATCTGTGGGCAATTCGGCATAATTTGGAAGGAACTAGGTACATATTATATTAATAAATTAGAGTAAAACTTTTTTTTAAGATTAAAAAATAAGAAAGGAAATTTCGTTTTATTTATAAGTTAAGCTGTAACTGAGTGAATAGATTTAAATGTTTTAATTTTACCTACTCTTTTATCATGGAACTAATAAAAATAATAATCTAAGGAAATGAAATAATATGTAGCATAGCAATAGAGAATTGCAGGAAGCTATAATAATAATAGAGTCAAAGGAATATTTCCACTCCTTTTATTTCATTTACTTCAGATGTACTCCGTTCCTCTCAATTCTTATTCATCTTATTCATGCCTTATCACTCATCATTTTCATAAGAAGTGCTCCTATATTGGAAGATTCAATTCTATACCTACATCACCAGAAATTATCTTTATTTTTATTACCTTCATTAAATTTTCTTATTTTTTTATTGATAATCCAATATATTATTGATTTATTCATTTTATTCATAAATGTGTTCAATAAATTAACTGTCTCACTTATTCGACAAAAACAAAAGATTTTTATATAGGAAAAGTTGTTATACACTGATTATAAATTATAATGACTTTAAATAAATCATTTTTCATAGTTTATGACCTTAGACCATATGAAATACCTTTTCGAGTGCTGGTGGCGGAGGTAGTACTACAACCATTTCCATGTTTATGAACTCACTCTAACGAATTAACGGAACGCGTGTAACACAATTCTGATTTACAAATGAAAAGGCCATTAGTATAATACCTATACTATTATCAGTTCCGTTGCAGAATGCAGTTATGTTGATTAGACCTGATCATGATATGAAGTGTTGCGTGGTTAATGTTTTCAGAACAAAGTGGATATGATCGATATCACATACGACATGACACGAGCAGACGTAACTACAGAGGCATATATTATTTGTATTTTTTAATGTTAAATTGTAGTTTATTCATCAGAAACATTAACTAATGACACACACCAATAATATCTTTAAATAGATAAGTTGAGATATAAGATATGTAGGTAGTAAAATAACCCACTTTTCACATAACAATAAACTCACATAATAATGTATTATTTGTTTTTGTTACAATTAAATAGTGGGTACAGCCAAAATATAAGAATTATTTTAGTATGCTAAACTAACCTTGACCATCGTTAGTTATTCCACTTAACCACTCACAACCACTGCTCTATATTATTGATGAAGAATACAGACAAGATGTGTACTAGGCAACAGTTAAAGAAATAATAGCTTATTTCAATTTGAAAATACTTATTTATATAAAAGTGATAATTAAGTCGTTAGTAACATCCCCAAATGACTTCTTTGTAATTAAATGGAGTCCTATCTAATTATCAATTACTATATAAACAAATCATTTCTTAAAGGGTTTTTAATGGTAATGTGTGTAAAGTAAATAATGGTATAACTAAGTAATGTAGAGTATTTAACATCAATGAAAACTAGACAATAGGGATTATCTAAATATAAAACTTGACTTAGTTTTAAAATGTGATACTGGCACCATTGTAGTTACTAGGGTCAGTGAGTATTGATACTTTTTACTGGTACAAAAAAAAACAAAAGATAAATGCATAAAATATTCACAAATAGAGTTCAGAGACAAAAATAATTTTGATTAAGACTTTGACAGATGGCTAGTTGAGTAAAAAGATGTTTGGAAAAGAATATCCAAGATAAAAACAGGGAAAATAAATGTAATAACTTGAGATATAAACGTCTGTTTTGATGTCACGGTTTAGATAACCCTAACACGAAAACTTTTATAGTTATACGTACGTAACCTCAAAATTATTCTAATATTAGCTCAATCTCTGGTCTGTTTTCATGTAAAGAGAATTAACAGTATTTATTATGTTGAATACTCACCCTAGAAAATGTTCTCAAACGATTGATACGAGGATTCGATGGCACATTATTCAGGGAGACCTTCGACATATTTCTTCAGTTATTTTCTTACTTCTCACACAACAACAGAAAATAGAACGTTTAGTCACTTTCCAGCTGGCACTGGCTGGTTTGAAATTACACCAAGTTCAAGGGAAAACAGATGAATATTAACACCTTACTTTACAATAACAAAAGTTTAATTTTGACAGCACAAAAACGAGTTGCACAATCCCATATTTAACAGTTTATTGTTTTAAATACTGTTCTAATATATACACTGATCGAAATTAATTGTGCTTCGAATTTTACAAATAGAGATAACTTTTTTAATTCATTAAAAAAACATTGGAAAATTAAATAAATTCAATTTGACAGATGTGCTTACGAGTCTGTGACGTTTCGTTTCACAGTACGCACGCGGTTAGACCGTTCTTCCTGCCGCCAGACCGACAACTGCTAAACGTCAAACAAAAACGCGCGAAGTGCGTATGTACGGCGCGAAAATTGTTTTCGAGCGCATGTCGTTTATAATATTTCCACATTCATTATACTTGGTGATTAAATACCTCGTTAAGCATATTAAAAATTCCGTCAACAGTTTATTGTTGACCATAGATTTAATGGCAGATTTATTAATAGCAATCAACACAGAATTACTTTCAGTTTTCAGTCAATCTTTTTTGTATACAATAATTATTATATTTTTATGTTGTATTGTATGTATTAGTTTATTTAACTCGTCGAGTACCGGTTTTATAGACACAATTAAAGAACAATAGGTCGCGGTCACCGGTGACCGCTTGGTGTTTGACAGTTTAATGTATTAATAATTTTCTTTTTACTGTATTTGTGGCTGGTTTTTTATATGTACCATGGCCTGAAATAAAGGAATAATAAATAAACAAGCATTAAATACCTATTTGAAAAATTCTATGGTCTAACATTTGTTTTTAAAATAGTTTAATTGTTATTAAAATACTGAATAATACCCAGAAGTCTACCTAAACTCTAAAGATAACCCGAGGTTTAGCGTAAGCAGGATATTCTATTTATAATCCGGGCTCTCATTGAATTATACGGATTCATGACGAAGGGCAATTTTCGATTGCTCCCTTTTAGGCGTAGGTCGTAAAATCCTACTTGGTTTTATTTCCTTGTTGTCGAGGTATAGAACAATTGGTTAGATTGTATAAATATGGTTAGCTTCCAAATAATGATATCTTTAATCTTTACAGTTAACTATATAATAGGCCATGCTATACGTAACTTAGGTATCTCTTAGGTAAGTCACGGCCACGGGGCACCCAACTACATAAGGCCAAAAAGACTTAGGGTTAGGCACGTGACAAGTTAGTCAATGATATACGTATCCATAGCATTTTCTTGTCACCTACAATTCTTTGTTCACTATTTTTATCCTGAAAAGACCTTCTAAAATCCTTTTCAATGCCTCGAAAGCTTTTGAATTCGAAACTTAAAAACCCTTCACCTTTCGACCTTTCGGCCTGTCCTAGGCACATAAAAATTAAATTAGTGAAAAATACTAGACAGTAAATGTCAATAAACTGCTTTAAAATTTTAAAGCCATCAAGTGCGTGATATAGGTCCCTACGTACCTACTCGTATTTTTAATTGAACCGGTTCAATTTTCGTCGAGATTTTTCAATCCATTCAGCCTTTGTTTTCGAAGGTCTTAATTTTTTTTATCGTTTTGTGTGCGTAATAAAACAACGCCGAACTAGGTACCTACATAATAAACGTGTCTATGCCACACGTGACATTCTTATTGATTTTCTATATCTGCAAAAAGAAGAAAATAAAACAGCTGCGGACTACTTAAGTAACGATTTTCTGATGAATAAAAACTTCGGACCTAAGTAAGTACAGTTACCTAACAAGAAAATTGTAACTAAAATAATACGAGTACCTAAGTAATATTTAAATAGATATAAAGCTACTGCTCTACAAGCGAAAGTAAAACCTATATCAATTAAAAAGTTAACTTACTCGTTGAAATTTCAAGAACCTAAGTACGTACACCTATAAAAGCTACAGAATGTGTACCCTGACTAATGTGCCTATTACGTAAATGATTTTATGAACACATGAATGCTAAATTATTTCAGCAATTAGCTCAGTTTTAAAGTTAAAAGCCTCATTAACATTGAACGTCTGCTTAAAAGTTTTCTAATGCGTGAATGCGGCTCATTTTGTGTGTGGATAAAGAAAGTTTTCTGGGTAGGACTTACCAGTGATTTTTCCGTGGGATTGACACGAATGCGTGGCTCTGAGTCTTCGTCTTCAGGCGTGCATTCGGCGCCGGCTGTTTGGCCCATGGTGACGGTTTCTGGGCGTGTGGTGTGGGCCGAAGCGGGGCCGCGTAGAGCAGCCCGCGCGTCTGTCGCGCGTCCACTGCCGCGCCGCCTTGGCTCCTCACAATTCACACGTATGGCGGGGAAAACTATCGACATTAGAAAAAAGTTAGTGAAAATGTTTCGCTGTCACGGCATTAGAGTTGGTGCTTGTAGATAGTAAAGGAGTCACCTACATTTACTGTAGGTACGAAGTTTGTATACTTTATGTACCTACCTTAGTACTATACCAAAACTTGGGTAAGTACATATTAACAGATCTTAAGAATACCTACTACTATAACTAGATACCGATCTAACTAAGAAGAAAGTTCTGAAAAAAATATATTGCAATTATCTATGTTTATTATTTTAGGGTGCAGTTTTTTCAGTGAGTTTCTTCCGTAAGATAATTATAATAATTGTCCTAATCCAACGAGAAGATTATCTTACACTTACACTATTACAACAGTAAGTTAAAGTTACCTCCAACAAAGAATCGTCAAACATCACTTTTGCCTATGTAAGGAACAAAAAAAGTAACAAACCGTTATCCCTAATAACGGTTTATCGATACCAACCCATCCCTAGAGGTTGGCGCGGTCGATACAGCGAGCGCAGGTCCGCAACATACAGCTGGGACCTCTGACAGTTCGAACATGCCAACTTAACCACTTATGTGTTTTAAACGTTTGAAAAAAAAGAATAGACCATACAGAAACGATACGATGTTTAAAAAAAGACAATGGTTGTCCACGTAGAAAAAAAATGCGATTTTAGAGGTAGGCCTAATCTGTCCATCCGTCCCTGGTAATGAGTAATTTTCCAAGGGGATGGATAAAACTCATATGTGATAATGAATTTCGTCGGCCGTAATTTAATCAGCTTTACCAACAAAACGGTTTGTTGACTTTAGAACTTTTAATTAAAGCGGCTTAATTAAACTAAGTCAATTAGTTATTATTAAGTATGTCAACAAAATTTATTATAATCAGTAAGGAATTCATTAATTTCAACTTATTGGTTCATGCTGTATTGTATTGAAAGTAATTCCCATTCTCGTTTCCATAAAATATTGTTTTTTTTTCTTAAGTCCAAATAAGTAATTGCTTATAAATAGTTAGCTATATTTCAAAAAAATCTCCTTAACTTGTCAAACAAAAGACTAATAAAGTTAATCTAATAGTTTAAATGTTGGACCAACAGTGTCCCAGTCTCACCGACTCATTGCATTGCAAACTGCAACAAAAGGTGCCGCGAGTTCAATTCCCGCACGAAATAAATATTGGTGTGACAGTATGACTCGAATTTGTTCACCGCAGTTTAAAATGTTTACCTTTTTAAAAATAGAATGTTGCGAATGTACAGTATTAAATATTTATTTTTTTTTGCTTTTTATCATTTTATGAAAAAAAAATGTGTTGTGCATAAGAACCTAAAAGCTTATTTAGAGGTAGATTGTTATTACTTTCCCACAAAATAAAAAAACAATAATATTATTTATCTGTTCTAGTTCTGCCAAATTTTTAAATAAATCTTTTTTATTATTCTCGTTCAACGACTATTGTAATTTAGCTTTTTGTAACATTTAGCGACATCTGGTATTCAATAGCAGAACTATAATGATAACGCCATCTACAATTATCGTAATTAATAATAGTAAATGATTGTAGATGGCTCTGATGGCTTATAAACAGCCTCAAAGAAATATTATGTTTATAAATAGTCGTGATATTTAAATAAATAGGTTAAATTAAGTGGTTATTTTGCCGCACTTACTTAAACTAAGTAATAAGTGCATAGTATTTGTATTTGCAATTATTTTAATCTCAAAACGTAAGTATTTGCGTATTTTTTTAAGAATAGTAATGTACCGTAGTTACCCAAGTACTTACTTGTACTAACAAATCCACTTAGTAAGTAAGGACCTAAGTAAAAACCCTATGTAAATTCATAGAAACTTAGGCATTGTGTCATTATGAAAACATCAGTCTTCTTGGGTACCTATTCTGACAGCAATAAGCTGATAGATATCGACGTATTTACCCATCAATCATCGAAACATAATTTTAGTAAGTACCTTTATACCATATCTACAAATATGTTATTATATACAAAAGTATAGGTACTTCGCCTAATTGCATACACAAATATTGGTGTTATTGAATCAACTTACACTTATTTTTAATTTGATAAGGTAATAGGTAGGTACCTTAGTAGGTATGGGTACTTCATAGTAAAACAGTGGTAACAAATTGTATTAATCCATTCATCGAGAGTTCCATCAAACTTTTAATTATACTAATGGAATTTTTATTTCATTAAAAACGTAACTTAGTGCTGGCAAAAACTTCAGAACAATATCAGCTTTGGCATATACAAAAACGGACGTCCTTCCGCTAAGCGAAATGGCTAAAGAAAAATTCATCGATTCAAAGTTAGAGAACGCGCGAGTGTACAAGAAAGCGTTGTGTAACGTGATCTATTCAATTAAACCGTTATTATTCATCGAGTACCTCTATGGAATACACAGATTTTACTTCACCTCTGGAGAGCTACGGCTATGTAATCGGAAAATGAAAACTTACAGTGTTTTAACTATTATTAGCTTCCTCATCACAATCCTCGCTTCTATTGACTTCAAGACTCTCATGTCTGGCACAGCTAAGTCCGTTGTCGTGATGGAAGAAATTCCCGTGTTCGTAGTCCTCGTCCAGTACACTACATCCACAATAACAGCTTCTTTCCTTGTCAACTCAGCCAACATCGGCATTTTCAATAAACTTGCCAAAATAGACGCAGTGTTGGAAGCAGAATCAATCAGTGACTACTACAAAAGATCCCGTATGGAAACCTATGGATTTCTATTCTTTCTAGGTTTATCCCATTTAATCAATATCATAATAGAATTAGTGACCGCTGAAGATATAACAGTACATGCATTGATCGTTCTTCCTTTATACTTCATACAAAAACTAGAAATAGTGGCTTTTTGCAAGTACATTGCTATGGTGAAACGCAGATTGGTATTGATAAATGACCATTTGAAAGTATTTGTTCAAGAGCAAGAGAAAAAGAAGAAGAATAAGACGATCTTTAGTGTATCGAAGAGTAATCCTGATCCCAAAGACAATGTTGAAATCAACTTTATTGGTCGAGCCGTAGATGGTAATACCAAAATACGGGATCTAGCATCGATGTACGATGTGATTGGAAGGATTTGTTCTGTGATCAATGAAGTGTTTAACTTCCAGATATTTATGACCCTTGTATCAACATTTACTTATGTGGTAATAACGATATGGTCTTCATTGTACTACTATCGGACGCCTGCAAGTAATTCAGGAGAGCTGATTAACACTGCCATTTGGTGTTTCAGCGCAATCTATACTGTTGGTGCTATGTCATTGGCTTGTGAACAATTGCTTCTAGTTCGAAATGAGAGTAGAGTACTAGTAAACAAGATTATAATGAACTATGATCTCCCGAACTCCATGAGGGTGCAGGCTAAAGCGTTCATGGAGCTGGTCGAAGCTTGGTCGTTACGTGTTTACATTTACGACCTATTTTCAGTCGACATAACTTTGATGTTAAAGTTCATTAGCGTTGCCACTACATATTTAATTGTCATTATTCAAATTTCTCATTTCGTTTAAATCAAGAGCAATTCTAAAAAATCTTCACCTCCTGTTATTACAAGCTATGATTGCTTTTTTTAATAAATGGTGAAGATCGATTAGGTTTTATTGCCCCAGAATAAATTAATATTGACAGTATATTTGTTACTACATAATACGTATATACTACGGTTAATATCCAAAATTGAGTAATTAATTTACTTGTCCTTGAAAACTGTTCAATCAATGAATTATATTTTTTTTTTATTTATGTAATTTGTTGTAATGAATTCCAAACGATGAAAATGAATTCAGTATTGGTCTGTTTCTATAGTAACTAGCATGCATAACATTGTTTCGTAATCACATATTAATGTAGTAAATATGTTCATAATAAAAAGAAAGCAGGCAACCATGTTTCTAAAATTCACTAAGTTCATCTCACCTAAGAGACATAAAGCGGTATATCTTCTTCATCACAGAAATCACGATCAGTTTTTTCACTTCAAGCATGATTAAGCATACGTTTTTATTTTAGCTTTCTAAGATTGTATATGATTTGCCAATAATATCAAAATAATTCTACTAAACCGCATTTACGTTTTCATTCGGCCTAGCAAACGGTTAGAAGGTTAATATGAAAAATGTAATAACTTTAATAGTTTATCAAACAGTGTCATGTTCAATAAGTGATATTACTCTTCATTTCTCACAGTCGTACATTATGAAGTAGACGTCTCAAAGTGTATCCTTGTATTTATTCAGACAATCTTTAATATGACAAATGCAAAAAGGCAATCAAATAAAACAAACATCGAGGAGATAGAAGACAGTATTGAAGAAAATGAAGTAGAAAAAGTTATGCACACATTGAAACCCATTACAATAACAGAATATTTCTTCGGAATATATAAGTGTCGTCTAGTGAACGGCCAGTTGCTGCCGCCAAGCTGGAAAATGAAAATGTTAGCGATTTTGTACATGGGAACGTACGGTTCACTGTTCTTGAAAATCTATTACGATCTGAACCTGACAAACCAGGTGAGAGGTTTGCAGGAGGTTTCCGCCTTAGTGGTGCTTAGCCAATATGTGACCACATCAGTTTTAGCTGGTTTCCCCGTCTATTCGGTGCCGTACATCCGTATGTACACTTTATTTACAGAATTAGACAAGAAGCTGCAAAGAGAAACTCTCGATGTGTTTTATAAAAAATCACGCGGTCGAACTTATTTATACTTATCCATACTTTTCATGTATAATATTTTAAATTTCTTGTTAGACATTTTCAGCGAAACTGACTATGCATGGGCAGTCATAATATTCCACATATATTTCTTTCAAAAGTTAGTAGTCTTGTCATTTTCAAATCATATCGATATGATAACTTGTAGGCTGGAGGTTGTTAACAAATGTTTAAAAACATTTGTTTTCGAACAAGATATTAGACAGACCACAATATTTACTATGAAGAATAGGAAGAAGGAAATGGAAGACAAAATTAATTTTATTGGACGTCCATCAGAGAGTAATATGCAAATCCGAGACTTGGCACGAATGTATAACATCATGGGAAAGATTAGTTTTCTGATCAACGAAGTTTACAACTTTCATATTTTCATGATTCTGATAACTGCATTTGCATACATTATAGTTACGATATGGACGGCACTTTACATTTATCGTACTCTTGAGTTTTCTGTAAAAGATATTGTAACTCTTACCATTTGGTGTATAGGCGCATTTATCAACCCTGCAATATTCGCTTTTGTTTGCGAGACACAACTTCGAGTGCGTAATGAGACAAGGGTTTTTGTAAACAAAATCATAATGAACTATAATCTACCAAGGACCATGAGAGTCCAGGCTAAAGTGTTCATGGAGCTTCTCGAAGCTTGGCCATTACGGATATTTGTTTATAATATGTTTTCTGTGGACATAACAATGATATTAAAGTTTATAAGTGTTGGGACGACATATTTGATTATTACTATTCAATTATTTCATTTGATTTAAATAGTACGTAGTATATTGGCGCGTCCGCATCTGGTACCATTCGCGAACGGCGACGCACTACAAGATTCTTATTCAATATTGTTCTCAACGTCTTTTAAAATGGAAATAAATTATATTTATAAATCAGTTTTGTTTCATTTATTTTTATCCCTTAAAGAAAATCTTGATCAATTAATGATTTGGACATCAAAATAACAGATTAACTCGTCGAGTACCGGTTTTATAGACACAATTAAAGAACAATAGGTCGCGGTCACCGGTGACCGCTTGGTGTTTGACAGTTTAAGTTATCGAAACTCGAAAGACATACAAATTCGAACAGAAAAATATTCTACAGAGAATGATGCTATCCTATATCAGCTTATAATAATATGAAACCAAAATTAATAAAAAAATACCTACTCCAGAAATGGGACTTAGCTATACCACAGAATAAATATATTAGTACAAATGCTTACATCATGAATTGTCATTGTAGGTATATATGTAGTATTATTATGTACACCTAATATGGACCCTCCACCTAAGGGAATAGTAAACATGATACCTATTACAGAAACTGTAGTAACATATTAAAGACATTCATGGTCATCGTATACCTAACCAGCACGACTCCGACATGGCGTAGTTTCGAATTAGCCTACCTACAGCTAGCCACCAGAATGCTGTCAGCACGTTGCTCGCGAGTTGTAAGCTCGCAGACCGCGCGCTGACGACGAGTTATAAGCGCACTGCTTAGGTGTGCTTATGACCTTCAAAGAGTCGACACAAGTAGGTCTATATGTGATAGGTAGTCATATTCGTCGTCGACAATATTTCCTATCACTTTCAAGTGTGTATTGATGGAACTAACAACTAAATGCTCGTCCAACCCATTTATCAAAATGGGGCAGAATGGCAGATGTGTCTAGCTTTAATAAAGACTGAAGTATGAGAGCAGATTCCTCGCCTGAAGGTAAATGATCAGCGCTGCCCATGTGGAGTAGCGAGTATTCTCGCTACACCAGAGCAGTTTAGTCGATAACCGAATCTGAAAATGATAATCAGTCCATTCAAAATAATAACATCGCAATTCAGTTAAGAATAGACTGCCTGACCTAACCTAGTTAATAAAGAACAAAACAAAAACCACAAATGACAACAAGTCACAAAGTCAATAAATTTTATTCTCATTCATTTGATCACGACTATGATGAGTGACCACTTCATTATCGTAATGGAAACTTATTTAATCATTGTTACTTTGAATTTTATATTGCGTTGGAATTCAATGCGAACAAATAGACACCAAGTACCGGACGTCTTTTAAAAAAACCTTATTGAAGCTCTCGAGTCTAATGGAAGAAGTAAAAGAAGGAGACAATGAATCGTATGGAGAGAAGAAAAACGCCAGCATTAACGAAAAGAAAAAAATCATAGCGATATTCAACAATTTTAAACCAGAAATTTTAATAGAATACTGCTTCGGTATCTACAGATTTCAAAACATCGATGGAGAACTACGCCCACCAAACTGGAAAATGAAAGTTTGCGGAATCTTCATTTTCTTGATATATACCATTGTGTTTTCTTGGTTTATGTTCTTTGTTCCAGATCCAGAAGCTTCGAATTCATTAGAACAGAGCGAGATCATGACAACTCTGGACTCCATCCCGTCCTTCGTCGTTCTTTTCCAATACGCAGCTCTGATAGTAACCACCAACTTTTTCAGCTCAATGAACATCCGCATAATCACTTTACTTGCAGAAGTAGACAAGACGTTACAATTAGAGATCTGTACTGACTTCTACAAAAAAATGAGTTCTCGTATCAGTAAATTCTTAATATTTATAACTATCTCACACGTAGTCAATGGCTTGATGGATCTATTCACTGTCGCAGATAGAGCTTGGGCGATGACCGTTTTCCCACTATACTTTGTTCAAAGATTCGAAGTATTCATTTTCTGTGCGTACGTAATTGTTGTAAACGGGAGGTTGGTTGTTATCAATAACTATTTGAAGGAGTTTAATCAAGAACAGGACAAGAAGAATGTCACAGTTTTTACAGTTAAAGACACAAAAATAAAAACAGAGAAGTCTTTTAACTATATTGGGCGTCCATCAGTAAGGAATATGAAAATACGTGATCTGGCAACCACGTACGATAACATTGGGGAGATTTGTTTCATGATGAACGACGTTTTTAACTTCCAGATCTTTCTGACTCTCGTGTCTGCATTCGTTTACATTGTTATAACTATTTGGACGTCGCTAAGTTTCTATCGTGCGACAGCTAATAGCGCAAACACACTGATAAATAATGCGATTTGGTGTTTTAACACTATTTGCAATGTTGCCACTATGTCTTTTACTTGTGAAAGACTCCTTATTTCACGCAATGAGACCAGGATACTAGTAAACAAGATAATTATGAACTATGACTTGCCGAAGACGATGAGGGTGCAGGCGAAAGCGTTTATGGAGCTTGTTGAGGCTTGGCCGCTGAGGATTTACGTCTATGACATGTTTTCAATTGATATTAAACTCATGCTGAAGTTTATTAGCGTTGCAACGACGTACTTAATTGTTATTATACAGATTTCTCACTTCGTTTAAATTGTTATTGATATGTATTAATTTGGTGTGTAAATAAAATAATTTGCACAATACTCAAGTTGTGAAGTCAATACTTTGTAATATCACCATAATTTTCAGATTTGTTGAATTTACGTATTTATAATTTTGATTGATTTGTGCAATTACTTATTTTTAATTTTAATAACAATAAATATATTTTACGTTGAGTTTGTTATATTCATTTTCACCAGATTTCCACTCTATTTAAATAAATTCAACTAATAAAGTAACACTAAAAACATAAACAGCCAGTTTCAATTAAAAAAAATATTGTTAGATAAGCATAACAGAGCAATGTGACTGGAGTTCGATTCTCAAGTCGGACAATGACTTATTTATTTTTCAGATTTTTATTTTTTAGTGTTGCTACGTATGACAATTAAAAAAAAACTTTGCCCCACACTAGGATTTTCTCCTGTGTCGTGGGTGCGTTTACAAACATATAAGTTCACATACACAATGACATCCAGACCCGAAACAACAATTTGTGGATCACACAAAGTGTTGTTTCGTGCGGGAATCAAACCCGCGACACGTTGCACGGCAACCGGTTGCCCAGCCACCGCACCAACCGTGCAGTCATTAAGTCATTAACTCGTCGAGTACCGTATTTATAGACACAATTAAAGAACAATAGGTTGCGGTCACCGGTGACCACTTGGTGTTTGACAGTTTTTGCCAAAAGCTGTTCTGAACTCCATGGAAAATAATCCGTGACCCCTTACCACTGGTAACAACGATTATTTAATACTTGTAGATGCTAGGAGGTGATAAAGCCTAGAATGAGTTTAATAATAAAAATTAGAAGCATGATTTCATGTTAGATTGCAGATTCATGCAATATAATAAATTGTGGTGTTCTTTTTCTCGATGACAGTGTGTAAAACTAACATAACTTTTGGTACATGCTTAATCATTTCTGAGCATGAGATTTGTTGTCTATCCTTAGAGGAACAGGTAAGAATTTATTGAAAAGAAAAGTACCCTGGTATCGATTTACATTCAAAAGTTTGTTTAATTATAGAGGTTGCCATGAAGATACCACGTGTAAAAGACAAACTCATTAATGATATTAGAGTAAGCCATGGAATATAAGAGGTTTAGGTAGAATGAATATTTTATGTAGAAGTAAGACTTCATTAAAATAATGGAATATAACATAAATAAGACCCTGACAAGAAAATAATATTAGTCATATTCAAATACTCAACTACGAACAAACGTTTCAGTTCTTTAAAAGCTAAAAAAATTGAGGCAACTATCACCATGGAAGCAGAAAAAGAAGATAAAAAGAAATCTCCAGGAAAAAAGAAGAAAGTAACAGATGAAAGCGAGAAGCAAATTGTGGAATCCATAAACGTAATCATATTCATTGAATACATTCATGGTATTTTTAGATTCTCTCTAGTAAATGAGAAACTACGTACACCGGATTGGAAAATGAAGGCATTCACTGTTTTTATCATAGCAGCTTTTGTTGTATTATTCACTACTTACTTCTTACTGCCAACTGATATCACGCATTATGACAGTAAAAATTACGTTCAGACTGCGGATAAGGTGCGCATCATAATACTGTTTATCCAATACGCAGTTTGCACCTTCACTGCTTCTTTTCTCGTCAACTCCAACAACATCCGCATCATTACTACTCTTGCTAACTTGGATAACCTGTTGCAAGTTGGAAAATCCAAAAACTTCTATAGCAAGTCGCGTTGGGAAACTTATAAGTACATGGTTCTTGTCGTTATCAGCCAACTGGCTACCAGTATTTTAGATTTTGTTGCTATCGGAGATGTTGCTTGGGCAATAGCAGCTACACCCTTAAACTTTATCCAAAAACTGGAAATAATAACTTTTTGCAAGTACGTGGACTTCTTAAGACGCAGACTGCTAATGATCAACAGCTATTTGAAGACATTTGTCGATGAACAAGATCAAGAAACTGCTACAGTCTTTACTATACGATCTAGGAATGTGGAAACAACAGAAAAGTTTAATTTTATTGGACGTGCGTCTGATAACAATACTAAAATTAGAGATGCGGCGAAGATGTATGACGTCATTGGGCAAATATGTACCATGGTTAATGAAGTGTTCAACTTCCAAATTCTGACAATCCTCATGAGTACTTTTGCCTTTATCATTATTATCATGTGGACCTCTCTATACTACTACCGATCAGCCATAAGTGATTTGAGCTTACTGATGAATGTTATAGTATCTTCATTCTTTTGGATTTGCTATGTTGCTATCATGTCGATTGCCTGTGAACGACTGCTTCTTGTCCGCAACGAAACGAAGATACTTGTGAATAAGGTGATCATGAACTATGATCTGCCTAAGACGATGAGGGTGCAGGCTAAAGCATTCATGGAGCTTGTCGAAGCTTGGACTCTACGTATCTACATTTATGACATGTTTTCCGTTGATATTACATTGATGTTAAAGTTTATCAGTGTTGCGACCACTTATTTGATTGTTGTTATTCAAATATTCAACTTCTTCTAAGCTTGGGTTTGTATTACTCTCGCACTTTAGTGTATGCAATTTGTGTGAGTGTATGTACGAATTTTGAAATAAAAATATTGTGCTTGGATATATCTTTTTTTAATTTTCACTTATTTTATGGTCACAGGTATTACAAAATTATATAGAACTATTTTATACTAAAACTTAATTACAATTTTTCAAGATCATCTATGGGTAGTGCGTCAAAAAGTCGTTTTACATTTTTCATTATTGATTGGACGCCGAATTCTACCATAGGAGTTCCAAATTCTTCAGCCACCATTTTCCAGTTGTTATTCATGAAGTCGAGGACAGCGTTACCTGGAAAAAAGAGATTATCATTATTTATGAGTTCAAATGAATTTTACCTTTTATAAAGTGATGCAGCCTCAATCACTCTTCAGTTCACTAAAAATCTTTAGTGTTACTTTTGCATCGTAATAGATATTTAATGAGACAATAAGCTAAATGTAATTATGACTCAAAGTTGCTTAATAGAAAATAAACATTAGTAGATTACGTAACATGGAAATAATTAAAAGCTCTGTAGGAACAGAAAACATCAGGAAATCTAATTTAGTTAATTGCTAGACCAAAATGAAGACATGAAACGGACATGAAACCTACATTACTAAATATATGTTTAAACAATTTAAAAAATACTTACTCATTTCGGGGCTTCCCTTGAACAGGTTCGTCATGCTGTACTTGACTCTGCCATCATAACCGTGTTCGATTCTGGAATCCTTGATATCGAAGTACCGACGTCCGTCTGACCTTACAACTGACCCCAGTTGCAAAAGACTATGCAGTTTAAGGTTTCCTAAAATGTATAGGTATAAAATTAACAAAGGTTGCTTATTGAGGAAAAAACTTCATGCATAATTTTTGTATTATTTTATATGATAATGTTTGTAACGAATTAACAAAGTGTAGAACGATTAACTGTTTATAAATGTTTGGTAAATCATAGTTCTTCGTATCTTTAATTTGATTTTAGAATTCAATCGAAATTAATATCGGTTACGTTTTCAATTTTGAAATTGAGGCAGGCATACATATAACGAAATAACTTAAATTTTAGAAATATAGGTTTGGTGATACTTACTGCACTTAATAACGGAATCTCCATCTCCATTTATGGGGAACAATAGAAGTCTTCCAGAAGATCTGTACTTTCCTTTGATAGTCAGATTACAATGTACCTGAGTCTCAAGTAAACCTCCTCCATAGCTGTAAATACAATAGCATTAATAAACCATCAGATCAGGATATCGTTGAACTTTATGAAATGTATCTTAGACGGATTTAATAGCAAAAAATAAACTAAAATTAAGCGTTAAATTCATCCGATTACACAAAGTTTCTAAAGATAATTATTAGTCATCACCAATTTTAGAGATAAAGTTAAAAACTGACAACGTTGTATAAAAATCCAGTTTTGCACCAATATGCAACATCCTTTAAGAAGGAAATGCTTTGAAATAAAATAGATTAAAAAACTTTTACATCGAATGGTATTGAAATTCTCACCTTGCATAATCCACATTGCATGTCTTCAATCCTTTAGCGTACCCATTGCTAAAGGCTATGTTGAGACCACCAGGTAGTTTCAGTTGTAGCTTCTTCAGTTCGTAGGGATCCAAAGACTCGATGCCTAAGTCAGGGATTCCATCAGCAATGGTCGGTAAGGCTGCCTGCACTGTTTTCCTTAAACATTCTGGTGATAGGTCTCTGCATGGTCTTCTGAATGATACTGTAATACGAGAAAAGATTTTAGAACAAAATAAGTAAAATATTAAAGCTAATTTAATATTATAAGCTAAGCTAAGTAACCAATGACGCAGTTGAAATAGTACATAAAAGAGAAAACTTACTTGTATAAGCTGACGATAATCCAATAATCGATGCTAGTGCAACACTGTAAAATAACACGTCACCAACCATTTTTTCAAATATGTTTAAAATTAAGAGAAGGTAAGGACTCCAGCAGAGTAAATTCAGAACTGATAAACCTAACACTGCCCTTTCAATATATATAGATACTAATGATGTGCAATTAGAAATAATTTGCATTAATTTCACAAATGACACCATAAGTTAATTAAAATTTAATGCGGGTATGAATAATAGTATTGCAATATCCTTAATGAGTTAAATAAAAATGCGTTTAGTCTAATTAGTCTTTATTCGGGGAATGTTATATTACTACTGCTTCTGCCTTGTTCTTTTTCTTTGTCAGACTTATCTTGGTCAGGCTTATCTGTTTCTGATTTGTCTTTGTCAAGTTTATTTTTGTCAGTCTCATCTTTGTTAGATTCAACTTTGCCAGATTTATCCGATTCAGACTTATCTGACATAACTTCATGGCCTGGACCAAACCTAGAATCTAAATCGAGATCTTCATCTTCATCGTCAGGATTCTTAGTTGTATGTGGTTTTTTTGTTCCAAATATGTCATCTAGTACATCAGGTGGAATGGTAAAACCGAGCGTTGTAGACCATTTGGGAGTGACTGGTGGAGTATTGGTGGTGGGTTCAGTTTTCCAAGTTTGAGTCACCTCCTTATTGCCATCAACCTCTGGAGTGGTAGGTCGGAGATCAAATTCGTCGGAACATCTTGATTTATATTTAAATCTTACGTCTGAAACAAAAATATATAAGTTAGTGAACCAACCAAAAAAATCTCCAACAAAAAAGACCAGAAGAAAAGACGTAAATTTTTACTTTAACGAATTTAAAACTTGTTTTTGATGAAAATACTTGTTTTTACTTACCTACACCACAATATTTAGAACACTCCAGATTTCCCATATTAGTGTAAGTAAGACCGTCTGTCCCGCAGACTGGGTCATACTCAGATGTTACGGGGCAATTCCGTATACAAGTCACGACATTAGGAGGCAGAGTGACTGGAGGAGGTTCAATCGTCGTTGGTGGCTTAGGGGTCGGTGGTTGAGGTGTTGGTGGTTGAGGTGTTGGCTCTAAGGTACATGGAGCAAATTTAGCTGCCCACACATCTGAAATAAAAATTTATTATATGAAGTAGAGTATAGGTAGAATTTCTGTATAAACAATATGCTACAGGAAGGTAACAAAATTACTTACCAATTCCACACATTTGAGCACACAACAAGTATCCAGGATTCTTGAATGTAACGCCATTTGTTCCACAAACAGGGTTAGATTCTTGTGTTAAAGGACAATTTTTAATACACCTGTGTACATCTGGATCTGGAATGACTCTACCACATGGGTTCTTTGTTACTGGTGGTTGCACTGTAGGTGGTGGATTAGTTGATGGTGGAATTGTTGGTGGTGGGTATGTTGTTGGTTTTGCCGTCGTTGTCGTCGTCGTTTTAGGCACGAAACCACAAGCAATACACGCTTTGTCACACAAAACTTGGACATCTGCAGACAAATAATCGGCATTAAATTAACGTTAAAGTCATTCGTAACAAAATAAACTAAATAAAATGCAATTTAAGGCAACTGATAATAGATTTCTCAGAGCGAAGAAAATATACGATATTCTTATTAAAGAAAAGTCTAACCTTGACCGCAATTTTGAGCACATCTCAATCGATCTATGTTCATGTAAGTTATTAGGTCTGAACCACAAACAGGTTGGAATGTCGAAGTTATGCGACAACTCTTCATGCAATGTTGGAATTCGGAAAAAGGTGTGGTTCGGCCCACGGGAGGGGTTGGTGAAGGACGAACCGTGGACCCCTGGGTAGGAGGCGAACCATTATCGATGGGCGGTGGGCAAGCAGATCTCCGTCTTATCTCTACATCTGGAATTGGAAATGATTATTGTACTATATTATCAGTCGGCATATAAGTATTAGTATTATGCGGTATGATAACTAAGTTCAATTTTTATTCAACACCTGTTAGTCAGTTAACCTGTCTCTTTTTCTGATTCAAAGAATTTCTTTAAACTGACGACATGTTTCATAATCCTAATCAGTGAGTAAAAAGAAACCTAAAATTCAAGTTTTCAATTTGAACAAAAATATTTTTAATATTTTTTTCCTCATACACATAAAAACTAAGTGCACATTATTTTGACTGCAGTAAGTATTGTCTCAACAGCGGCTTATGCGAGAGAACTGATAACTGGGTACCTACTCCGAATTAAGAGTTGAACCTACATAACTGAATATCAATATTCCCTGAATATGAACAGTTGTGATAACTTTAGTGTTGGAGTGCCTCCAAGTTATTTCATGTCTATAATTGTTTTATAATATTTATAATTTAAACTTACTGACTCCGCAGCTTTTAGCACAGAACAGTTTTCCTTCATTAGGATAAGTTTCTCCATTAGTACCACAGACAGGATTAAACTCAGGCGTTGAGGGACAGGACTCTATGCAACTTTCGATCTCTGGTGATAAGGTAGTAAATTCTTCTTCTGCATCCGTAGTTGTTTCAGGTATGACTTCAGTGGTGGGCTCCCATGTGGGCCGTGTGGGTCGTGTGGGCCATGTGGGTCCTGTGGGCCATGTGCCTGTTGTGGGCCATAGAGGTGGAGCCTTATTTGTGGGAGATGGATGCGTGTGAGGGTCAGGGTGAGGATCAGGATGCATAGTTGGCCATGTAGGTTCTGAAGGTACAGTTCTTGTAGGACGGGGTTTTTCTGAGGTCACAGGAGGTATGGTTGGTGGCTCTGTTGGTGAAGTGAATGGAGGATGGTAGGTAGTTATTGGTGGTTCTTTTGTTGGCGACTTTGTTGGTTCCGTTGGGGGTTTAGTAGGTGCAGTTGTGGGTTTTGTTGGTGCAGTTGTTGATTGTGTAGTTTTGTCTGGTCTTCCGCAACTGTACAAAAAATATCATGTTGTTATTATAGTGCAATGTAAATTCTTTAAATTGAGATAGGGATGTTGCTATTTTCGTCTTCTTTAGAAATTTAGCAAAGATCATTTTCGAAATATGTCGATGACGTCACATTTTTTGCTATAATAACATTATTTAAGTAGTAATTAGTAATGCTTATTGTATGATCCAATCAATTAACGACAATATCGTTATTTTAATAGCTCATGAAGTTGATGAGGCATTGTAAATTACCGAGGGGTTCCTGCTACTGGCAAGCATGGGGATATTTATATATGATGATGATGATGCTTTGCTGATGTGTCGTTGTCGTAAAAAGTAGATTTTTTAAGTCCAAAATGTTAATTTACCTTGATCCTTTACAAGGTTTGTGCCAATTATCGTCTGGATCATATTTTTCGAAGCTATCTTCACCGGAATCATCTGGTCCACTATCATTTTCATCGGAATCTCCCCACATATGTCCATGACCGTGAGGTCCTCCAGGTCCATGACCCCACGGATGACCGTGAGGACCGCCGTGTCCCCACGGACCGCGATGACCTCCAGGGCCCCAAGGGCCACCAGGCCCACCAGGTCCACCATGACCCCAACCTCGTCCGGGACCTCCGCCACCACCCCCTGGACCGTAACTTTCTACGACCACCAGCCCTAATACTGCAAACGCTGAAAATCATAATTTAATTTAGTCAGGTGCCTATACTTGTATTAAATTGACAAATTCACATTCCAATACATGTAACAACAGTATCAGTCAGATGAAAAATTTTATTTTCAAGTTTTCTAAAGTTTTGTTGGTCTGCAGACTAAGAATAATAAAATAGTAATTGTGGTCACATAATTAATTAACCAACTAATTAATTAAATATTTCTCAACACAATTTCTTCATTAAGTAGATTATGGACTTCCTTCATCTGGTTCTACATATGGAATTTAGTTTAGGTTGCAGAAAGGATTAAGGTTAAAAATTATAACTTTATATGCAAGAACACGACTGCCTCGTTGGCCGAGCGGTCGCAAGTGCTACTGTCTGCGGACAAGGGCTCTTGGGTTCGTTTCTCGGGTCGGGCAAAGTATTACTAGGTTTAAAAAAATCAGTTATAGAACGGAGTCTGGAAATGTGCCCAGTATATGGCTATAGGCTCATCCCCTATTACATGGGACTCATAACATAAATAGTGAAAAGTGGGCATTACATTGTACAGTGTTTTTAAAAAAAAACACTGTACACTGTACACTGTACACTGTACAGTCATTGTACAGTGTTTTAAAAAAAAAACACTGTACAAAAATGTTTTATGGCATTAAGTGCCGTAATGTGCACCTCTGCCTACTCATTCGGGGATAAAAGACGTTATGTTATGTTATGTTACATTCAAGAACATGGGTATAATTTTTCAGCAGTAACTTTTGTTAAGATCTACAAAACAAAAAAAGAGTAAAACAGTACAATAAAATCTTGCAACTCCATTATTTAAACGATTAGGACAACGTGAAAACGGTCATATGTTATTTTGAGGGTACCATCCATCTTAGTCAAAATACTATTAGGTAGGTAGGTGTAACATAAAACAAATTTAAAGATATTTCACTACTACTTTAAATATATCTATAATATTTTGAAAACATGTAGGTGGTATACTTTAAGCAATCCCTTTATTCCTATTGTTCATAAATAAATACGAATTTGTGTTTGCATGTCTCTCAAATTCACAAAGAACTCTTCAAATTAGATATTCATAGCTATACAGAGAAGGCAAGTTGTAAATAGTTTATTATTAACGTAAATAAAGAAAGAATAGAAGACGAACAAGCCCGTTCAGCCAACACAATTTCGCATTTATGCTTAATATATACTACCTAGCATAGTCGTATTATCGTATAGTACGAGTATAGTAAGTATACTAGCTAGTATATAACATATTTTACTGTTAAACGCAAATGTTCATGGTTCAATTGGATGCAAATTACAAAGGACACATTGCGTTGCGCCATAACAGTGCGAGATTAATCTCTATACTTTTAATTTTTTACAATTCACTATCGCTGATCACATCATTATTGCAGTGTCATAATAAATTACATGAATCGGGACAATCGATTGTAATAGGGTAGTTTTCTAATTTTTATTATAATGTCCGTCTGGTAGATTATTTTAAAACATTAGACACTTATTTTTTCTTTTCTCACAAAATTAAATGCTTTCGACGATATATTGATTTGAAATGTCGTGTGACGTCACAGCGTGCAACAA